CTCTCTCCCTCCTCCCTTCCTCCCTCTCCTTCCTCCCTATCCCTCCCTCCCTCGCCCTCCTCGTGCGCGGGGCTTTACCGGGCAGTTGGCCCGAGCGCCGCCGGCACGTCCCGCGTCTCTGTTTGGAGTCGGTCCAGATACCCGGACGACACGCCAGCCCGGCGGGACGGGGGTATAATGAACTCATATCTCAGCGGGGAAAACAAATGAACGTCACTTTGCATTGCTTGGCAGTGGCAGTATTAAGCCTCATCGGAAACTGGCTTCACTTTACTCGCGAGAAAATTGGCTTTACTGCCTTTCGGTTAAATACAAGCACCGCACAGACACGCCCCAATGGTGGATTGGCGTAAGTGCCTGCTCTCCCGTAAGTTATTTTCTGAAGGAAAAACAACAAACTACAAAATTGAAACAGAAAAATCAACCAATTCTCTTAAATTTTTAATCGCGAATCTGCTTTCACTATCTGATAAATAAAATGACGTGTGGCGTAGTTCACCTCCTGGACCGAAAAGCGTCGCGACGCACAAACTCCCCTTTTCCTTTTTTTTCTTCTTTTTCTTTTTGCGCGGTGCCAACGACGCGGGTGACAGGGGGATCGCATTGCTTTGTGTGGGCGACGCGCTCGCGACACGCTAATGGAGGAGAGACATTCCGCGGTCATCGGGGGAGAGAATGTTTTTGCAAAGCGGAGAGTCGGGATGACAAGCGGCCTGTGACCCGCTGCTGCTCTCCTCTCCAACCTTGTCTCTCCGTGGAGATTCCAGAAACACGCCGCGGACGACGACGGACGACGACTTGGGACGCGGCGGAGAGCGCGCGCAGAAATAGTGATGGATCGCGTGTCCGCGAATTACAACCTTCTTTTTCCGCGGATTCATTCATTATCGCCTTGTCTAGTTAGCCAGGGTCTGGCGAGAATAACAACCCGGAGCCGATATCAATGAGAGAAACGGTTTCCGCTGCGCGCGTGGGGGGCAGTGGCCCCAAACATACTCTCTCTCTCTGTGTCTCTGTCTCTCTCTCTCTCTCTCTCTCTCTCTCTCTCTCTCTCTCTCTTT